CCCGCGCTTTAAATGAACATTCGCCACACATTAACAACACTATTTAAAAAGCACTATTGGAATGACAGTTTATAACCTCGGTAGGTGTTGAAAGGCATGAATTTATTTGTCTTTCATAACAGACGTGCAATGCAGGCTAGCCTACTAGGACTGGAAAATATAATCATATATAATTATTACTCAATATGAACAATACGTTACGGGTGTTAGCACTTCTTCAGGTATTCAACGGAAGACAGACCACTTGTTGTAATATATTGATTAATTAATAATTAATGGCTGCGACCATCAACTGCCATTTTCTATATATTGGTAATATTCTTGACACGGTCATATGACCTTTGACGTGATTGGTGAATCGAAAGTGTTAATATGAAAAGTACCAATCAAACTGACCAATGATCATGGTTTTGTTTTATCTCCATGTAGGCGTGGCATCTATGTTTGTGATACGACTGAACGAATATAAAATATACCAGTTGGGAACGGGTATCCTGATAGGTAGAATGTTTTGGGCAGTGGGGGATGGGGGAATTTCTTGCTGAAGGGGAGAAACTGTGTATTTTTAGTGGAGGACAGAAATGAACAGCCTTTTCTTTCTTCCAAAAATATCTGTTCCCTATAATTCAGCTTGTCAAGTAGATTGGAATATGTTTTCAAATGTTCATGTTTTTAAACTTGTTGTTGGATGCACCCGATATACTAGCGACGTATCTACAACATTAGTGGAATTCAAGGAGTGAAACACCGCATATGTTCTAGGCTATATGCGAGCAGCTCGAGACATGGACTCCACTGTACACATGTCTGACATTAACAACCGAATATTTGAACATCTAAAACAGGGGAGAACGTGGTATGCCAAAATAGGAAAGCCGTATCAAATAATGTATTCTTACTCGACTACGCAATGAGCGGCTGTTACGATCCATTCGGTGTTAATAATTGTACCGCCACAAATATGACCATAATCATTATGCTCCAGACTTATCTAAAAAAGAAAAGAAATGTATACGTTGTCAACATGTTATAGCAATATGGTCAAATTCAATGCGATGTATGTCTCATGATGTGGCGGAACACCAGCTCGTCGTTAACCCCGAAAAGAATGAATGCGTTAAGCAATGTTGGTGTCATTTTGTAGCGTTTTTAAACAGTGTGCGAGTACGTCTCAAGTAAAAAAAAAGTGTGATATTTGCAATTATAACAGATCACTCGTTAATACTGTACTGTAATTGGTCAAAACAGGATCACGTGTTATCGGCTAAATTACCATAGTAGCGCCAGGGAAATTACTAGTACCCTAGGGAGACTAGAACATCAACTCGTGCCCGGGTGATGACGTCACTCGTCACCTGATCGTGTGATTTCCAATAATTCGTCTGCTAGCTCGGTCGCTGATATCGATAGTCCGCCTCAAAAGAGATTCAGAAGGACAACTTGACACACTAGTAGAAAATTAAGATGCACCGAAGACGAAGGACGCAATCAGGTTTTCTAGAAGCGTCTGTACATCGTTTTGTGAAGAAATCGGGACACCGCAAGCAGACGTCGAGAAGAAGACATGCAGTGTGTTCACTATTAATGGATGTGTAATGTGTTATAAAACACATATTGCATGGCATAATTCGGGCTCTAGTATACGTATATTTTCCCCTCGGGGTTGTAGGGTACCAACAATACCTGCTATTTCCCTCGGGGAAATAGACGTATAATAGTGCCCTCATGGACATGCAATATGTGCTTAATAGTTGAGGGGGTACCTTGCCGGCTGTCTAAGGGACGACGTCAAAAGATCGATGTCGGATAAAAAACTTATTTCCTTTAGTTTGGGGGTGGGGGGTTTTGACCTCAAAAAGTATCCATCCTACAAAAACGATTTTATTTTTTAATGAAGTCAAAACAATCTTGGAGTATTTGTATTTTTTTTTCTATCCAATCATGGACAAAAATAACCGAAAAGGGAAAAAAAATAGAAAAATGGTTTGGTTCGAGTGTAAATCTGCGTCAAATGAGGTGCATTTGTAAAATATTTTTACACCCACCCGACAACCAACTGCTATGCAATACTACTGTTCGATTATCAATTTGTATTTAATGGTGAATGTAGTCTGACGCCATGACCAATATTTATCAATTAAGTTTCAGTGGGGGGTAGGGGGGTTTGGAAAAAAACTAAAGGAATTAAGTTTTTTATCCGACATCGATCTTTTGACGTCGTCCCTAAGGGTATAAACCATCGCAGTGTGACGTCATATGTTTACATTTTTGCCAACCAGCATGTGAATGTGTGAAAACAAATGTCGCTCGCTGATTAAAAATATTCCTATTCCACTCACTGCGCACGCGCACGCGAGCATAACGGAAACAATCGCGGCGGCCTATATTAACCCACAGTCCCTCAACACTGAGAGACTGTGATTAACCGTATGCAATAGACACACAGTGACACTACCGTGCATGGAATTGAAATAAGGCAATCAGTCGCGAGTTCAATGATTTTCAACTCGAAAAGCTGAAGGTAGACCCCCCCCCAACATCACAGTGTGTTTGTCAACATTCAAACGTTACACTCATAACCAATAACACCAATATGAAAACTATCAATACAAGTATTTTACAGTGTCATCTCAACATGCTGCTTGAAGGTTGGATGAACATTAAATATAGTATATCATGGCATTTGATTTGTTTTGAGTTATTTTTAAAATATTGGTTTCAAGACATTATTGCTTTATTTTTTTCATTGATTTTTCATATTATTAGCGTTGATAAACTATTATAAATAAATATTTATATATATTAATATGAGAACAATTTTTATGTGAACTTTGAGCTAGGTAATTCTCACACGATACAAATTAAATCAATAATGATGCGAAACACTATAGTCACTATTAAAATCATCACCTGCCACGGCCAACTTCCTATATCGGCTTCTACTCCGCCCACTATTCGCTGGTTTGAGTTAGGAATGCCACGTTTTCTTCGTCTCAAAGTCGGCATATACGCCGGAACTCCGCAATTAGCTTGATTCCCTGGAAATGATTTATTGAAAACGCAGTTAATATAATTTATTATTGAGGTAGATAAACATACTAAGACATTGTTTGTGAATAATTCTAAGACGCGAATGTTCGCCGAAGATCTCGATAAAGGCGAAAAAACACACGACTTCTTTTTGCCACTCCAATAGCGTTCATTTCTCTACCATCTCCCACTGTTCCAAATACCTCGGTTTTTTAGAACTTAGGACAGTGCACATGACGACCGTGGGTGGCACACTATTTGAGGAGCAAAAACAAGTCTCGCGACTCTCTCACTCAACGAGATTTTGGCGGCCATATTGCCTCCAGAGTATATTCTCGTTACCTGGGCACCCACTTTCATCACTGCTATCGTTACAGTCCTCAATGCCATTGCAACGTAGTGAACTGCTAACGCACACTGCCAATGTGCCGTTTCCGCATCGGAATTCGTCGTCAGAGCAGGCCACTATAAAATAATGACACGATTTGAATTTCACAAATTTAATTTTTTACAGCTGCTTATCCACAAGAAGTAAACTATTCCACGAAGTTAAATTAAGATATTCCGCTTGAAATATCGAACGTGAAATATTGAATGAAAAAAATTAAATATAAAATGGAAAAATATAATGCCATTTGAGAATGGAATTTTCATTGATTGCTTGATTCATCTCTTTGCTAATACTCAAGAATATAGCTGACTCCAGTGTCACTTTATATTTTGCGTTTGTTCGCGTTTATTTTGCGTTTGGTTTTCGTAATGTGTTATAATAACTGAAACAGTCCTCCAAATAACTAGTGATTTCAGTAAATGATTGATTTGACGTACAGCACGTTTTAATGTATGTACAGTCAAGCGTGTTGCGGAAGACTTTGAAAAACTTGCACGAACCTAACAGAATATAAAGCGAACCAGAATTTTCGATTTCATGTAAATTACCTTCAGCAACGAACTCCGCTTCAAATCCCGTATATTGAACAGAAATGTCCGAAGTGAACGTCACGTACATTTGATTATCCGTGGACCGTATTGACGGTGGAATTGTACGCCCACAGTATTTCCCCAGTAGCAGATTGGTGGCGCTGTCGTCGGCACCATTGTATACACTGACAGCATCGTAATCACAGGTCGAGGAGCTCTCCAAATCGAATGAATTGAATGACAGAAATACAATCTATTGGAAAACACACAATACGCTTTACATATGACTATAGATGAGACTACTTTACAACAACGAACAATATACACGATGTAAATAGACGACGAGATCTCGTTGAAAGTGAGCCACAAGACTTGTTTCCCCTTGTGTCCCATCCTCCTCCCATCGTGCCCATTGCTACCCAGCTTTATGCAACCACTGATTATAGCCCGTTCCTCAATACACAAAAATAAGTAGTTTAGATTTGAATCAGGCACTACGCCGATCACGAGTTATGTGTGTTAGAACCTGACTGATTTTTTTTTATCTGGAATACCTAAAACACCGACATACATCACGAATCCAGCTTTGCCACAAACACGCTCAATACAACTCGCCAAGAAAGTATGAAATGTTCCAGTAGCAACGTATGTTAGGAAATCTTATGAAAGGACAGCTTAAAAAGTGCATGTTCTTCGAACAAATCTCCCGACTTGCTTCTCGTCGAAGTTTGATTAATTAAGTAGACCAGATTGAAGAGAGTTTCGCGTGCGATTCCATGTTGACACAATCTTTCTGAAAACTTGACTATCACAGGTTTATACATCAATATTCGGCTGTTAGCTAACAATTTCTGATTCAAATATCTTGCGAATACCGCACATTCTATACGACACATGCTACTCTACACGTCAGATGGTACAATCAAAATATATCCCATAATATAGCATTAATTAATATATTCTGTGAATGTGTATAATGTCATACTTCCGATGTATGAACAGTGAATAATACTACATTATCACAAATACCTTTCCCACTGTCACTGTGATCTGCCAATAACAGGCCGCATTGCTGTCATACAGAGTCGTGCCATCATAATTCATAGACGAAAATGAACCGCTATCTGAGGTAAACGTTGCGGGACCTCCACATGGCGATGCTCCTACAACAAACACGATAATATATTATTTGTGGATTTATAATTTGTGACATGGCAAACAATACCAAACGTTATAATAAATGCATGACATTTTTTGTATATTACGTAGTCAGAACAAAGGTAAATATATTATTTCCACGAACACACAATTTCGGGAATTTCAAATAATAGTAGCTGGAGGCATACGTTTAGAGACAAACAAATAAATAAAAGTGGGTCATTCTTTTTACAACTTATGTGTGAAGATATTTATAATAGTTGACACACTATCTCAAAACATTGACTCACATAGGACAGAGGTACCGTATTTTCCCTGTTAGCAGTGCATACCTTTAAAGTAAAAGCCATTAACTTAAACCATAGAGCTCATTGGCTAAACAAACCACTGGGTGGGTTTAGTGGTGTTAAAATCCCACCAAAACATACAAGTTTAGCTTATTAAATTTGAGATGCGCATTTAATATAGTAAATACGGTATTAGTAATGTTATACTTAATAACGAGATAGATAAAGTGAATATTCAGAGCGATTTGTGTTGTACTTAAAAGACAGTAAATAGTGTTGCCCATTAATTTAAAAGTGTTTACTCCCTCTCTCTGATCTGATATACATACACAAGCTCTCATTAACTAAAATTACACTAAAAAAATAGTTGACATTAAAGTGCCATCTATTATACATCAATTAGTGATCTTGTGCGATATTGCACCTACCTGGACACCCATCTTCGTCTGAGCCGTCATCGCAGTCAACATTATTATCGCAGTGAAGCACATCATTTATACACAGAGACATCTCCCCAGTACCGCACTGGAACTGGTCTGAAGTACATACGACTATGAAAAACAAAACCGTTAAAAGTATTAATAATTATATATTTTGACCATTGGACGTGTACTGTGAGAGACCAGCGACAAGCGTGTAATGTAGTGTTTTACCAGACATTAAGCCTGGCGCACACGAGAGCTATCAGCTCGGGCAAAACTCATCCGTGTGCGCGCAACTTTACGCAAGATTTTAGTCACTCGTGACGAAATGGTACGGTGAATACCTATTGTGTTTGATAACAGGGACATGCAAATTCTGTACAGTTTCCTGTGTGCAGCGTGGGTTATATTCTGCTGTATAGATAATCCCATTAATGCATATACCTAGTAGATTTATACATTTTTAGTTGTTATCTTTTTACGCTTTTTTATATGTTTGATAAGTTATGCTGTGCCAATATTCACATTTGTCAGTGTATATGATATATCGGTTCTAAATATGATAAAAAATGCACTGGTTATAATGGCACAAATTTAAACAGGTCATTGTTGACTTTTATTAATAGGAAGTTTTGTTTCGTTTCCTTGTAGAGACAA